CAATCAAAATCAAGAATCTATTCGTAGATCATTCTAGAATGCGATTTCCTAATTTGGTATATTCCCAGACTGAAGTTCATATTTAAGCTTATTAGTATTGTACATTGCATCTACCATAAATTCTGTTAGCTTATCCAATAGTAAGATATTATAAAATATAGTTACAAAAGCAAAAGTATGTTCATCAAAAAAAAGAAGCTCATAATTTTGTTTTTGTAAATACATTTTTACGGAAGTGAGCTTATAATCACACGATCTATATTATGTCTGTGTTATTTTTGCCACCAGTAATATACCTGCTTAATTGTTAAAAATTCGTATCCTTCAATGTGTTGATCTTTAATTGATTGGTATATTTCTGGTACACTTTGTTGAATACAATTATTTATATAATCTTTGATCTTTTTCATTACATTAACTTTTTCAGATTGTAGATGTAGAAGATCATAAGATATGTTGATAAGTACAATATTATTTTTGAAATCAATTTTAATTGTAATAGAACCTTTACATTTATAGCATTCAATATATAGTTCAGTACTATGTCGCTTTGAGGCATCTTCTACTTTTTTATGATACTTGCACAATTCTTCTCAAGCATTACTCCAATATGTAAATGATATATAATCCTGCTTTTTGCTGTTATATTTTGATTGATAAACATATGTATACCCATCACCATTACTAACAGCATTAACAATTGAATTAGAAATATGTAGATTTCTATCCTGTTCAGTAGCATCAATTAACACTTCACAAATCAATTCAAAATTAATATTAAATTTGACTTGAAATTTAGTCATTCCTTCAAAATCATCGTTTATATTTTTATATTCTAAGAGAATATCATAAACATAATCTGCGATATTTGCAAAGTTGATTGTACTTTCCTCTTTATTTGTAAAATTATCAACCTCTTGCTTTTTTCATTTTTTTGCTTGAGATACATTGCTGCGGCAATTTTTGCAATAGTCCTGATTACCATCTTCAAGAATAAATTCTACAAGCGGTTTTAAGCAACTGCATCTCGTGCATACTAAAGTTTCTTCCAAGGGTTTTTATTATTTATTTTTTCCATTATAATAAAATTTTGGAAAAAAAGAAAACGATTGATTAGTAATAATGAGAATGAACGTATGTAATTGCAATAAACTTTCATGCATAAACTTTCGTGTATACGTAACTCATTGTCATATATCAGAAATCACGAGGCAGAAACCCCGATTACTAGCGACACTGGCGTTGCTAGATAAAATCTTGTCAGGATTTTATCTTGTTGGGATTTTATCTTGTCAGGATTTGTTAATTTTTGACTTCAGCGTTACTGATATTTTGTTTTTCGAAATATATATATGATATCTTCATCCGATTTATATTTTTTGATATTAGTTGGTGAAAATTTATATATTCAAAAAATTAAATTATAAATTAGTTAGTTATAGCCAATAATGCAATCGCTTTATTTTGTTTTAAGAAAAG